CAGACAGGAATATCAAGAAGGAATGCAGAAGTTACAATGGGTAATCAGAGAGAAGACAAAGGAGGGACACCTAATTCAAATGATGGGTTGTTGGATAGGAGAGAGAAGGAGATGAATGAGCAGGTATCATCAAAGATTCCTATGAAGGGGTTCCTAACTTCTGTTTTTGTGCCATGGAGTCTTTGGGAGTGTGGAGAAACCTAGGGACCAATTTTCAGAACAGTGTTTTTAAATATGTAAAATATTTTGGATTAAAAGGAAATTTTGAGTATTTAAATAGCCATACATATATACATATAGGTATATATATGTATACGTATATATATATATATTTTTTTTTTTCTTCTTCTTCTTTTTGAGACAGAATCTCACTCTGTCACCCAGGCTGAAGTGCAATGGCTCCATCTCTGCTCACTGCAACCTCCACCTCTCAGGTTCAAGTAGTTCTCTGCCTCAGCCTCCCAAGTAGCTGGGATTACAAGCCCCCGCCACCACACCTGCCAATTTTTGTTTTTTCTTAGTAGAGATGGGGTTTCACCATCTTGGCCAGGCTGGTCTTGAACTCCTGACCTTATGATCCACCTGCCTTGGCTTCCCAAAGTGCTGGGATTACAGGCATAAGCCACCGTACCAGGCCATCAAATATTTTTAAAAGCAAATTTGTAATATAATAACATATATGCGTCTTTATTAACTCATTAAAGAACAAAATCTAGCAATGAGAATACTTATTAAGATAATTTTAGAGGTAATAATGAGTATAAATGAAGTTTTGAGTTGTCTGTAGCAACTGTTATGTGATATGAAAATACCTGTGGTTTGTTTTGGTTGTGAAGTCACAGGTACCGCTAATGCTAATACTATTGTGGTTTGTGGCATACATTAATAATAGAATGATATGCTAAATTTTATTTAGAGGGTTAGTTCAACATAACTTCCTGGCTCTGAATTCTGTGCCAAGTTAAAAAAAAATGCCTGTATTAAGAAGAGAGAAAATCAGATGTAATTTTTTTTTTTTTTTTTTGAGACAGAGGTTCCCTCTATTGCCCAGGCTGGTGTGCAGTGATGCAATCTCGTCTCACTGCGACCTTTGCCTCCCGGGTTCAAGCGATTTTCCTGCCTCAGCCTCCCAAGCAGCTGGGACTACAGGCAGACACCGTCATGGCTGGCTGAATTTTTTTATTTTTATTTTTTAGTAGAAATGGGGTTTCACCATATTGGTCAGGCTGGTCTCAAACTCCTGACCTCAAGTGACCTGCCCACCTTGACCTTCCAAAGTACTGGAATTACAGGTGTGAGCCACAGTGCCCAGCCCCAGAAACATTTTTGATCATCTGATTTCTATTTTCTCCAGATAGAATAACTTCCTCTTCTATATTATATTGGGAGCCCCTATCTAATTTCAATCCTTGTATTTTTCTTCACGTATTGCAATCATACTTCTATCATTTTTTTCATAATGTATTGTAATCTTATATTTCTGTCATTTTTACAAGTCCTTAAAAATAATGGATGGGGCCAAGTGCAGTGACTCATGCCAGTAATCCTAGCACTTTGGGAGGCCGAGGTGGAAGGATTGTTGGTCCCAGGAGTTGAAGACCAGCCTGGGCAACATAGTGAGACCCAGTCTCTATAACAACAACAATAATATTAATAATGGATTGGCTGGGTGCAGTAACTCACACCCGTAATCCCAATACTTTGGGAAGCTGAGGTGGGCTGATGGCTTGAGTCCAGGAGTTTGAGACCAGCCTGGGTTACATGGCCAAACCCAGTCTCTACAAAAAACACAAAAATTATCTGGGCCCTGTAGTCCCAGTACTAGGGAGCTGAGGCTGAAGGATTCACTTGAGCCTGGGAGGCTGAGGCTATAGTGAGCTGAGATCACACCACTGCCCTGCAGCCTAGCTGACAGAATGAGACCCCATCTCAGAAAAACAACAAAAAATAAGTCCTGGTGTGGTGGCCCATGCCTGTAATCCCAGCACTTTGTGGGGCTGAGGCAGGCAGATCACCTGAGGTCAGGAGTTCAAGACCAGTCTGTCCAACATGGTGAAACCCCATCTTTAAAAATACAAAACTTAGCTGGGTGTGGTGGTGGGCACCTGTAATCCCAGCTACTTGGGAGGCTGAGGCAGAGGAATCACTTGAACCCAGGAGGCAGAGGTTACAGTGAGCAACCATTGCATGCCAGCCTGGGCAACAATAGCAAAACTCTGTCTCAAAATAAATAAATACATTAATTAATTAAAGGATGCATTTTATTTATTTATTTACTTTTAAAGACAGGATACCTGTCATCCAGGCTGGTTGCAGTGGTGCAATCCTAGCTCACTGCAGCCTTGGACTCCCAAGCTCAAGTGGTTCTCCCACCTCAACCTCCTGAGTAGCTGGAACTACAGGTGTTCAGCACCACATGTGGCTAATTTTTTACATTTTTTGATAGAAATAGGGCTTCACTATGTTGCCCGGGCTGGTTTCGAACTCCTGACCTCAAGTGATCTTCCCAATTTGGCCTTTCAAAGTGTTGGGATTACAGGCATGAGCTACCACACCTGGCCTGAATATTATTTTTTATGTGTATGGTGTTTGATTTTTCTGGAGGGATAACTAGGAATTTCCACATTCATCCATGGGTGACAGCCGCTAATAAAGAACTTTTAAATTCAGGATCTAGTGATAGGAAACTTCACAAGTATAATGGGATATTATTTGGTGTGGGTTTTTAGTAATAATAGGATGCTTGCCACTCTCCCTATACACAAACTTTGAATATTGGTGTTTTCAAGATGTTGTTCTATACTGGACCTTCTTAATTTCTTATTCTATAAACTCTTCTTTGGAGAACTCACCCACTTCTGGAACATCAATTACTGTGTAATGAGAACTCCCGAATACAGCCTACACTTAGTTCTCTGTCACCGAAGGCTCACTTGCAAATATCTAAAATGTAGACAATCTAACTCCCTCTAGCTAAGCAACTTTCAACTCAATATAGTAAGATTAAACTCATTTTTAAAAAACTCTTAAACCTCTTTCTGCCTCACTCTTATTAACTTGGTTCATGCTCTCATCATCTGAATTACTGCACACTTCTTTAAAGTTCTGTTCTTGATGCATACTTATCTAAAGTATGAGTGACTGAGTTTTCTAAGAAGGTGAATTGCACTATGCTAGTCCCTGTTTAAACTCCCGAAAAAGACTATTCTTTCTTTCTTTCTTTTTTGTAGGATAAAGTGTAAACTTTTGTGGGGTTGGTTTGTTTGCTTTTTGTGACGAAGTCTCGCTCTTGTTGCCCAGGCTGGAGTGCAGTGGCACAGTCTCGGCTCACCGCAACCTCTGCCTCCCGGGTTCAAGAGATTCTCCTGCCTCAGCCTCCTGAATAGCTGGAATTACAGGCATGCACCATTACGCCTGGCCAATTTTTTTTGTATTTTTAGTGGAGACAGGGTTCTCCATGTTGGTCAGGTTGGTCTCAAACTCTAGATCTCAGGTGATCTGCCTGCCTTGGCCTCCCAAAGTGCTGGGATTACAGGTGTGAGCCACCATGCCCGGCAAAGTGTAAACTTTTTAGGTGACATACAAAGCTGCATGACCTGGCCCTTCCTCTCTCTCTAGCGTTACAGTCAGATTTAATTGTACCACATTCTAGCATTGAAGTATTGGACAAGTTTTTTTAACTGCAAGTGAGGATATTAATGCTAATCAGGGGGAGATAACAGCATATAAAGTGCCAAGCATACTGCCTGGCTTAGAGTTAACAATAAATATTGGCTATTGTGAAGAAGAAAATATTATTGCATGTATTTGTTCAATCTCTACTGCTGCCTCATGAGGATGCTTTGAACTGCAGATTGGGTAATGTTTTAACACAAAGGAAACTCTTCCCTCCACCAAAAAAGAAAGAAAAGGAAGAAAGAGATTTATTTGAATAGACTGGGAAGAAAATTGGACATGAAAAGTTGAGTGACAGGGGAGGATTAAGAGAGGCCTATGGAGTTGTTTGCAGAGGTGAGTTAGTAGTAGTATATCACTTTAAGAAAAAAGAGATCTGGTGGGGTGCAGTGGCTCATGCCTGTAATCCAGCACTTTGGGAGGATGAGGCTGGCTGATCTCTGAGGTCAGGGGTTCAAGAGCAGCCTAGCCAACATGGCGAAACCCCGTCTCTTCTAAAAATACAAACATTATCTGGGTTTGGTGGTGCGGGCCTGTAATCCCTGCTACTCTGGAGGCTGAAGCAGGAAAATCACTTGGACCTGGGAGGTGGAGGTCGCAGTGAGCCGAGATTGCACCACTGCACTCTAGCCTGGGCAACAGAGACTCTGTCTAAAAAAGATCTGAGCGATTGGCTGTTAGAATATAGGGGGCCTTTGGAGAAATAAATGGATGAAGAACTTTAGGATGTTTTGCCAACCCCACCCTTACCTCCTCAGCGTCCAGCTTTAGTAACTTTGTTAAAGTTTTATGGTTCGCAGGTTTCTTCAGAGTTTAACACTGGGATGAGTTTGGTAATGAACTAATACAGTTATTTTTTTTTCTTTTTTCTTTATTCTTTTGAGATAGAGTCTCACTCTGTCGCCCAGGCTGGAGTGCAGTGGCTTGATGTCGACTCACCACAAACTCCACCTCCTGGGTTCAAGTGATTCTCCTGCCTCACCCTCCTGAGTAGCTGGAGCGGGCGCGCCACCATGGCCGACTAGTTTTCTTTTTTTTTCTTTTTCTTTTTTTCTTTAATAGACACTGTTCCCTACGTTGGTCAGGCTGGTCTTGATCAACTACCTTAGGTGATCCACCCGCCTTGGCCTCCCAAAATGCTGGGATTACAGACGTGAGCCACTGCGCCCGGCTTAGTTATATTTCAGTTACACGATTATTTGCCTTTGAGTGTCCCCACCCTCATATCTTAACTCTGACATCTGCACGAAATTCATTCATCTAATAAATATTTAAGTGGCCTCCCCTCTTTCCGTTTGCTGAACAGCCCATCGTTTTCCATGACTTTCCTGACAACTCAACACTAAAATTCGCCCCCCACCTTTTTTTTCCCCTGTGCAACGCACCTCCCCGTCTCCGCTTTTAATTGTTTGGCTGCCATTCCTCTTCTACAGTGCTCCTTGCAATGAGGAATGGGGACTGTGCTTTACATATTTGCGAACTAGGTGTATGGCACGAAGTAGATGTTTAGTAAATGCTGATTGAATGAGTATCCTGTGTATCTCAGAGGCATCACACCCAGCGTGCCGTGGCGTCATTCCGCACTCCTCTGCGGGAGGCTCAGATCCGGAGGGTTTAAGTGGTTATTTATAACAAACACCGAACAGCTCCAACGCAAGCTGTGGTTTCAGACCGCCCACAAAAAGCGCAGCTGGCGGGAGTGCGGGCTCTGGGTCGACTGGCAGCTGGAAGACTCCAGCTCCTGCGGAAACACCCTGCTTGGGAGGCGCCGGCGCCCCGTAACTCTGGGAATAAAAGGTGCGAGGGAGGGAGCTGGCGGCTCACTTATCGCGGTGTTTCTTCCCTTTTCACTACCGGAGGAGCTCTCGCGAGAGGAGCAAGAGGAAGATGGCCGTGCCCTGATTTTCGGTTTGAGGCAGCGACGGCGGCGGCTCTGAAGGCGAAACTGAGATCCTGGTGTCGTGGGCACCTGAGCTCTAGCACCCCCCAGCGAGCGCGCGTCCCTTCGTGCCTAGGCGAGAGCCGGCTCTTCCCCGGGAGATGCGTTTGTCCCAGGCTCGGGGGCGCAGTGGGAGTTCATGCTGCGCTGGAGGCTCCTGGCCACCGCTCTAATCGCCTTGTGCCGCCCCAGCGCCAGCTCCGTCGCCGGCGGTGAGCCTCCCGATCCCCCCCACTGCCCCTGGCGGCGGCGATGACCGGGGAGAAGATCCGTTCACTGCGGAGGGACCACAAGCCCAGCAAAGAAGAAGGGGACCTGCTGGAGCCCGGGGATGAGGAAGCGGCGGCTGCCCTCGGCGGCACCTTTACCAGAAGCAGGATTGGCAAGGGCGGCAAAGCTTGTCATAAGATCTTCAGTAACCATCACCACCGGCTGCAGCTGAAGGCAGCTCCGGCCTCCTCCAATCCCCCCGGCGCCCCGGCCCTGCCGCTGCACAATTCCTCCGTGCCTGCCACCTCCCAGTCCCCGGCCCTTCTAGCCGGCACCAACCCCGTTCCTGTCGTCGCGGATGGAGGCAGTTGCCCCGCACACTACCCAGTGCACGAGTGCGTCTTCAAGGGGGATGTGAGGAGACTCTCCTCTCTCATCCGCACGCACAATATCGGGCAGAAAGATAATCACGGTGAGGAGTGCTAGCCCCTCTCCACCTCTCTCCTTCCCCGAGCTTGGGGTGTGCCTCCCCAGGCTTCTGGAATCCTAGGCTCCCCCACTCCAGCCGACTCTTCTTTCCTCTCCTTTGCCCATCATCCGGGCCATTCGGTAAATCATGACCGACTCAGTAATAGCGTGCTAGTGGTCAGGGGGTTGGTTCTTGTGGGTGCAAAGGAATGTTTCTTCCTTGCCCACTTCAGAGTTTCTAGTGAGAAACTGTTTTATCTGAGACAAACCTTCGATGTGCTGATTCTGGACTGTCAGAAATTTTAGGTTGCCTCTCACCCAACCTGGTTTTCTCCCTTTGTTTATGGAGCTATATATTTTTTTTATTTCTCTCCCCTTCCCCCCATCTTGGCATTTTAAATTTTGAACACATAAAATGCCCTCCTCCCTTCATGACTCACATACAGATCCCATCTTGACTGCAACTTGTTGTGATGCTGCCTGCTACCAGGTTGTTTCTTTTTTGTCTGCTTTCAGCAAACTTAGAATGTTTGATTTATGAAAGACACACAGTAGAAATTTGTTGGTATTTGATACCTAGAACAGTTAAAGTGACTTCTCAACTGCTGATTCTAGTTAGAGCAGAGATTTGACTGCTTGTTTTAAGTAGATAATTGCTAATAGTAATGTCTCATCTTGATGACTGTGACTAAAAATAGTATGATTTTTATAGTAATTTTATCTTAGTCTATATTGACTATTTCTTGTTGCCTTGTCAGCTGAATTTTTTTCTGTTCTAAAAAATAATATGATTGAGTTGACTTTTAAGCAACAGTAAATTTATTAATGAAAACTAATAACTGACATTTTTAACAATAGGCTGTTTTAAACTGGGTAGTTGGCAAATATTGTTGATCCCTCTGCTTTTAATATGAAAATACCATATATTCAGTTAGAACACAATGAACCAACTCTGTGCTCAAAATGATATACGTATCAATGAAATACTTGCCTGTGAAATAAGCTCCCTTAATTCCATTGGATTGTAGGATTCTTAGGACAAAAATTAAGATAAAAAAATGAGTAAGGTTTCTCTTGGCTGTATAATTCTCTAACAACTGCACTTGTTTTCTGAATTTACAATGTTGTAATTGTAATAAAATTACCACCTATCATTTATCATAAATCCCCAAAAGTTGCAGCCAGTTTTTCATTTTTCCATTTAAATTACTTAATAATTTTACTATTATTGTAGAAGCATAATGTTGTTTGTTGTTGAAGGTAATTATATTCTAACCCTTTGGAAAACAGTTGTTAGTGGGAGATGGGTTGTAGCTTCAGTTTAGTAGTCAATTATTAGGAAGTTTTTCCAATTTGGTCTACATAGTAACTATAGTTACATTACCTTGAAATATCCCTGAAACAGATAATTTGTTTTGAAAGTTAACTCCCTTTGAAAGAAGAGATGGATGAATATCACAGAAGGTACTGAATTGCAGGATTGTTGGGTATTCATGCCTTCTTCAACCCAACATTTAGAAGTACAGTTGTTTAAGTTCAAATTCTGTTCAAAGTAATTAGAATGCTATGTACTCTTAAACTCTTGTCCTTAGCCCACTGAAATTCACTTTTTCAACGGTAGATTTTTATTGTGTTTAGCACGGCTTATATCATTAATGTTTCTGATTAATGTAACCATTGATTCACGTAACTGGGGAAAATATAATTGTTTCCCCCCCTACACTGTATACATGCTCATCTACAGTGAGGTATCCTAGGAAGAGTAGCTTCAATTTAATGTGCTTCTTATTTAGTCTTTCTTTCTCTCATAGCCTCATAAATTTATCTGACACATTATTATTTTTACTCTTGATATTTTAGTAACCTGGATGCTTTTAGATTTTTAGGATTTTTTTCCTTTAAAATTATAAAAGATAAATACATTAAAATCACTGCAACAAAAGCAAGCTTGGCCAGGTGTGGTGGCTCACACCTGTAATCCCAGTACTTTGGGAGGTCAAAATGGGTGGATTACCTGAGGTTAGGAGTTCAAGATCAGCCTACCAACATGGTAAAACCCCGTCTCTACTGAAAATAGAAAAATTAGCTGGGTATGGTGGTGTATGCCTGTAATCCCAGCTACTTGAGAAGCTGAGGCAGGAGAATCACTTGAAACCAGGAGGTTGCCATGAGCCAAGATTGCACCATTGCACTCCAGCCTGGGTGATAGAGTGAGACTGTCTCAAAAAAAATAATGATAATAATAAAAGCAAGCTGTATATTCTCTTTGGATTGCTTTAACGTAAGTGCATAGCAGAATTATATACTCATACAGGTACATAGCAGAGCCAGACAATTATACTATGTATTACATAGTTTTATGTTCATGGTAGGGATTCCTTTCACAACATGATGATGATTACAGTGATGATTATTGTCCTTATTATAGATACAATTTATCCAGTGGTTCAGCAGGGTGCTAAGTGTTTACATACATTGTAACATTTAATCCTCACAGCAGCCCTGCAAAGGAGTGCAGTGGAACCATCTGGTCTTGCTGCAGCCTCTGCCTCCCAGGTCCAAGTGATTCTTTCACTTCAGCCTCCAGAGTAGCTGGGATTACAGGCACCCACCATCATGCCCCGCTAATTTTTATACTTTTGTAGAGATGGGGTTTCACCATGTTGGCCAGGCCAATCTCGAACTCCTGGCCTCAGGTAATCCATCCACCTAGGCCTTCCGAAGTGCTGGGATTACAGGTGTGAGCCACCGTACCCAGCCCAAAGCAGATAAAAACAATTTAAAAACAAGAAAAGTAAAGCCTAGAGAGGCAAGGAAACCACTAAAGTTATATAGTATAAATCTCAAAGCTATAAATAATAGCAAGGACTCCAAAGCATATGATGAACCTCTTTGTAAATATTTCTATTCCTTGCAAGGAAGTCAATTCTCATAATAATGTGTGTTTGGTGTTTTATAGCAAAGTTCTTTAATATATTTTTTTCTCATTTATTCCTTATAGTAGCCTTGTGAAGAGATTCTACCATTGGGCAGCTCAGGTTTTCCTGTGGAGCCCAGATCTTTTATCGCTGTTTGTTACTTCTTTTTTTATATAATGGCACAAATAAATGGGCTACTTTGTCCACATGATAGCCCTTTAGATATTTGGCAAGATTACATTCAGGTTAAATATTCCTAACTTCTGTATCCATTCCTCATGACATCGTTTGTAAAGTATTTAGAATAGTCTCTGAAACATACTATATGTGTGTTAATAAGTAAATGAAAATCTTCATCATTATCGTTTAGTGGAACTTGTTTGTTAATTCTTCCCTCAGAAGATGGTGCACAGAACTAACCTTATTGATGGTGCTATATTAACCTTGTGAGCAAAGAGAACAGGGAGACTATATTGCTGTAAAGCAGCACACAATTATGCAGGGCAATAGTATGTTATTTTTTTTATTTTTATTTTTTGAGACGGAGTTTCGCTCGTCATCTAGGCTGGAGTGCAATGGCGCGATCTCGGCACACTGCAACCTCCGCCTCCTGGGTTCAGGCAATTCTCCTGCCTCAGCCTCCTGAGTAGCTGGAATTACAGGCACGCACCACCATGCCCAGCTAATTTTTTTTTTTTTTTTTTTTTTTTTTTTTTGCGATTTTTTTTTGAGACGGAGTTTTGCTGTTGTTACCCAGACTAGAGTGCAATAGCACGATCTCGGCTCACCGCAACCTCCGCCTTCCGGGTTCAAGCAATTCTCCTGCCTCAGACTCCCGAGTAGCTGGGACTACAGGCACGTGCCACCATGCCCAGTTAATTTTTGTATTTTTAGTAGAGACGGGGTTTCACCATGTTGACCAAGATGGTCTCGATCTCTTGACCTCGTGATCCACCCGCCTTGGCCTCCCAAAGTGCTGGGATTACAGGCGTGAGCCACCGCACCCGGCCCGTTAACTTTTTTTTTTTTTTTTTTTTTTGAGATGGAGTCTTGCTCTGTCACCCAGGCTGGAGTGCAGGGGTGCAATTTGGCTCACTGCAACCTCTATCTCCTGGGTTCAAGCAATTCTCCTGCTTCATCCTCCTGAGTAGCTGGGACTACAGGCATGCACCACCACACCTGGCTAATTTTTGTATATTTAGTAGAAACAGGGTTTCACCATGTTGGCCAGGCTGGTCTGGAACTCCTGACCTCAAGTGATCTGCCCGCCTCAGGCTACCAAAGTGCTGGGATTACAGGTGTGAGCCACCATGCCCCGCCAAGAGTATGTTAATTTTTAAATTATGTTTTTTTCTCAAGTGATCTGTCTTTCCATTCTATCCTTTCTTGTATGTATTTTTTTTTTTAACCTCAACACAGGACTTTAGATCTATTACATTTTATTTTGTTAGTTTTGATCCTTTATCGTACCTGGAGAGCCTGTTGAATCCTAATTTGGTCACTGTTCAGGTCATAAGCTATGTCAGTTTTCACTATCTCTGATTTGGTAAACATTTTTTGGTGTATGTATGCATTTGCAAATTAGTGACTTAAATTGAATAGGAGAAAGGATAGAGCTTTTTCTTTTGTGGTAAAATATTGGTTAAGTAAGAATTTTTTTGAGTCATCAATTATTTTGAGAAGTATTGTATTTTGGGTCTAAACATATTTCTTGAAGTATATTAAGTACAGTAATAGCTATAAAATCATGTATACATTGTATTTAAATATGCCAAATGATTGTGACTCATCACTTAATAACAGTTTTTTGGGGGGGTGGGGAAGAAATATTAAAAGTACACAAAATTATGGAAGTCTATGTCTTTGGTTATATACTACTTTTTTCTTTAGTATAAAATTAAAAGATCAAATCTAAGCCTTTTTCCACAGAGTATAAGGATTTTTCAGAATAAATTTTTGCCATTGATAGTTCGGCAAGGGATCGTGATAACATGACACTTTTTATAATTGATAATAATTTTACTTCTTTAACACCTTTATAGCTGAGAATACAAAACGTATAGAAGGTTTTCTTGGTTTTGACTAC